CTATGCAAACATGTAATTTGTTCCTTCTTTCCATCCGTATGTATTAGATTATTTTTTGATAAAAACCTAATTCTGCAAAAAAAAAAAAATTTGTTGCAAAACGCAAGTAAATAATGTATTTGCAAAAATACATATATTAAGATTTGATTATTTAATATTTATCAGCTTCTCAGAACTTTATTTATCATCGTATTTATTTAGTATCATTTTGTAAGCAGCCTTGAGCCTTACAAATGTCATTTTGTCATGAATTCGTAAAGCATTTTGCGCAGATTTAAACAACTGCATGGTTCATCTTTCTAACAGGCTAAATCCAGCAACCAATCTACTTATTTGCTTTACCTTATTTCTTGATGAATTCAGTTTAATAATGTTAGATGGAAGCAAAGAATACATATTTATTTGTTTTTTATGTGTCTAGAATTTCTTAGTAAATTGAGTTGCACAAGCAGTTTTGACATTCATTGTTTTTCAATAACTTCTTTTTTGAAATTTCTGAAAAATATTACTGAAAAATGGTTGTAATATTGTAAAAAAGAAACACTCAAGAAAAAGTTTCACAACTAACTTTCAAGGAATTCAGCATGCTAATTTCTTCGTGAACCTAAACGGAGCAGTTTTCTGACTATTCCGATTATTTATCCCGATTTGTAGATGACTAGAAGGAACCACTTACTGATCAACTTTTTTAGCATTAAATTTGTGGTATGAAAAGAATGATCAGGTAGAAGAAAACGGGAAAAGCTTAAATTTACTGTACCTTGTTTACGATGTTGGACAAGTAATAAGTTTGTCCGGAAAAGGTTTTCTAACATAAAATACCAAACTTTCATGTGAAATTATTTTTTCATTTTTTTCGAGTAAGCGCATTATTCGTAATATTCAAATCGACAGCATTCTCACAAATACATCAGTTTGTGACGAATCTCCATAGAATTTAAATTTATTGCAGAAATTTTGCTGTTATCACGAGTATTGACTGGAAGAGACTAATCTGCTTAGAGCTAGCACTAGATAGAATTCAGTGAATGCATTCGCATGCAAGAATTGTGCTTCGAATCCATCGCATTTCGTTTCTTCAAGAATGTCTTGCGCTCACTTTTCAGTAATCTACTTTTTTCAGAATATTCGCATAGAAAAGTAATGCTCCAAACATACTGCAAATGCATTAAATCTTTCTTGCCAACTAATCAGCATGCCATTATCTGTTGTATATAGCTAACTGTAAATTAAATATTTTACAACTGTGATTTGTCAATTTCAGAAATAATTGACCCCATCCAAGGAATAAAATGAAATTGTTCTCATGTCATATATTTGATTTGAAATTATGCTTATACTTTGCTATTTTATACATTAACTTAGCGTACTTTAACTTCAAGCATAGCACCGAACATGAAATATGAAAGCTACATCTGTGTCAGCACAGTGTTTACATATTATTTCTAAGCAAATCTTTCTCAAAAAAACTTGATTAAGTTATGCAATCGCAACTAGGGTCAAGCCTTCCACCATTATCTTGTTCTGAATGCACTTGTATTTTTTAAATTCTCTCACGAAGAAATCACTTCGTACCCATGTTGTAAATCCATGATCGCTTGTTCCACCAAAATAATTATTTTCCGGACAAATTTGGTTTTAATAAATTGAAAAAAAAACTATTTATAAGAAAACTACTGATAACACGAATTGATAAAAAATCTACTGACGTAATTTAGAAAAATGAATCTTCTTAAAAATGGCACCAATATAAATTCCAAATCTTCAACAATCCAGTTTGAATCGTATTACAAGGGTCATTTCTCATTATTTAAGAAACTTATTCAGTAATTTCCAGTGAAAAAAAGAAATAGTTTACCGTATTCAAAAACGGTGTTAATTATTACTGATGAAATTGTTGTAACGTTAAAAAAATAGTCTTTTCAATCATTCATATCCATCAACTAACAATAAAACAAGTTTAAAATGAATCGCACCAACTTAAAATGCTGTTCATATGTCACAAACAACCATGGTAAACAATGAACAGAAACAAAGAACGATCACATCTTCATGCCAATAGAAATTTTTGAATTAAAAAAATCATTCATAACGACACTGCCACTAGATCATTTTTGATATCCATTTCATTTCAAAACAAACATTTTGTTACATAAACGAACTAAAGAGAATAATATTCTCATGAAGAACATAAACATGGAATAAAACTACATGCTAATCTAAAATGAATTTGCTAAGTGAACTCATAAGCAGTCACCAGCAAAGATTTCTACTGTGCATATTTACGTTCAGATCCAGATAATCATACTGGTTGTAATTTACTTGAGAATGAAATTAGAATACTTTGCATACGCAATATAATATTGCACCCGAATTCCCTTTTATGCTCATGAATACTGATCTGAGTTGCTCCCTTACCTTAATCTATTCCTTGTGCTTTGTTACATACATTTAATTTCTCAATTTGAATAGCAAATCTAGCTAAACAAAATGTCACGTGAGCAAGTAAAACTAGTTACATTAGAAAACGAGTTGTTCAAATCAAATCTAAAAGCGTATTTTGTTTCCATAAAACTGTATATCATCTTTATAGAAATGAGAAAAACTGTGACCTCGCCATTCTGTCAGATACATTTAATCTACATTCAACTTGATTTCTAATAAAACTGACAAGAAGATCTATCAACTGAGATACTTGTTAAGAACCCTGCTTACGAAAAACAAACAAAAATTAAGTCCAATTTCATTTAGATAAGATTTCATGAATGAAACACTCTTGACCATACCTGACTGTAGATGGGATAAATAAGTTTTACAAGTAGAGCATCAAAGAAGAAATTCAATCGCTAATTTGACGATACTGCCTAAAAGCATTCAAAAAATAAGAGTCTAGATAATAACGATACAAACCAACGACCATAGACGTCAATTTAAGTATCCTTAATATCCTTGGCCTTTTTATAATGAAAAACTTCCACTACAAAAATTTCTTTCGTTTACACCAAAAATGATTTCACCTGCAATGGCAATACATATCCTTACACAGTGTACAAGTTTTTTTTTTGTGTTTGGTCAAATCTACAAATCTACAAATCTACAAATCTCCAAATACAAAAAACTTAATCCCTTCCACATTTTTTGAAAAGGCATAAAAAACGGAATAATCTTGAAAATTCTTCGATCGCTAATGACATCAAATATACAAGGTAATACTAGATTTTCCGGTAAAAATATTTCGAAGATTTGCATAATCTCAATGCACTAAATTAATATTAGAGACTACGCAAGATAATTATAAATATTAGCTTCATCCTGATCACGGCACATATATTCACGTTCAATTAGACTTTCGATACGCTTCTTCAAATCGATTGGTTTTACTGGAAAACGGAGTTGTTTGAATAATTCTGAAATAAGCAACTGATGTGCGAGTGTTCTCCGGGTCTTCATTATACGCACAATTGCAGCGTCAATTTGATACTGCCTGTCTTGATATATTTCTTCTTCTGTGTGAGCACGTTCCACTTCCTGAGAATATATATGTAACTCTCAAAATTTAGCATTTCACTACCAACAAATAACCATTACAAACGAATATGATGAATTTACAATTGTATTCAAACGATCCAAAGCTCTCAGTAATAGTAAAATAACGGAGATCACAACCCGAAAAAAATGGCTGATTAGATATTGTTTTCATTAAGATAATTACTATTTAATACAACACAAATAAATTCAACACTAGCATCACTTTTATGCTGCTATAAAAGTAATTGAAAGCCAATGGCCACTTATTGCAAAGTTTAGAAGTTTTCACTTCTGAGTTCCTGTTTTTTTTTTGTTTTTTTTAAAATAATATTTCGAACGAAAGTAACATACTGTTTCCTTCATTTGCACTTGACTTATGCGTATTCGGAATAATTTCTCACTGCAGTCTGGATTGAACGTAAAAATATCAGCATCTTTTACAATTTTGTTACGTGGTGACTTTTTAAGAACTCGAAATTTTCCACATGCCAACGATTGCATGGTCCTGTTTAGCTCATTTTTTTCTACAAATTTATTTTTATATAAATGGTAATGCAGAAAAAGACAAACAAAAATAAAGAATTTTGAAAAAGAACTAACAGAGATAAACTAGAATTTTATCATTTTCTTTTTATATTTCTAGTTTCAAATGCGAATGTTCTAAATACTGCACCCTTACCACTAATTCGAAACATTCAAAAAAGAGAGATTCGATGATATAGCTTAGAAATGAAACTAAGCTTTCCGAACTATACATCTTTATTCTAAAGAACAAAAAAGTGAATAAAATGCATAGAACGAAAAATTTAAAGAAAAATCCCAAAAAATTTTTAAGACTAAAATGTACCGATTTTCGTAGTTGAGAGAATTTCCTCATATGACCACTCCACTTTTTCATTAAATAAGAGAAGCACTAAAGCTTGAAACATCGTAACTTGCAGCTCTTTCACAACCTAAAATTAATTAAAACAGGCACTAATATCACTATTCTAGAATGAGTTGGCAGTTTAAAAACTGGAAAATGATCTATTAATAATTTTAGCACTCATGATTACTGAAGTAATAGAATTAATACACTGAATTGAGCACGCAATATGAGTTGACCCAAGCTATGTTGCCACTGAAGTTTCCGACCACTGTGTTTGGAGAAATAAAACTGAAAATATTAGATACAAAAAAAATGCAACTCATTTTCAAAAAATAATGTAAATATTATTTTAGACATTGAAAATTACCTTCTGAAAATCTTCTTGATATACCGCCAAAACTGGAGGAATTGCAACATCCATATACTCATATGTAGGCCAATGACCCATAGTTAGAACATTTACATTAAATTCTATCTCACTCGTCCGACGATCTACTGGTGTTCCATCAGTCTCATTACTTTCCAAATGCTAAAATTCTAAACTGACTTCAACGACAATTTGACACTTGATCCTTATATTGATATTTTAATATCAAGAGCTCCATAATCTGACAACAATTAAATACGAACAAACCTGTTTGAACGCTACTCCAAGATCTTTCGAAATTTCTATGTCTTTGAACATCCCCTCTAACCTCGTAGTAAATGCAGCACCACATTCTGAAAGCATTTTTTACTTACCTTTAGTTGACATATTAGGATATAGCAATAAAAATTTTTTCTTTTACAAAACAGTAAGAAACTATTTTTACTTAAATAATGATTTTATATTTTTTACAAGTCACTTGAATAGAGCTGTGTCTGTGTAATTATGCGCAACTCACTTGCGCACTCTTGTCATTCTTGTAGTCACATGTCTTTAAAAGTATGATTTCTCCTCAACTAATATTTTTAGCATCTTTGAATATGGCAATCAATTAACGATAGACCTTGTTTTAATTTCGACAGCATAGATTTCTCTGCATCAACTGATGCGCTTTTTCCGAGTAATAATCTTTTGGCAAGATCTTTTTTGTAGAATGCTTCGAAAACATCTTTGCCTAAAGCATTCGGAAAATTTTTTAGGGCAGATATTAATTAGTTTAGCATTAATGAAGGATAATCAATGAAAACAGCGAAATTTCGATACTAATTTACTCCCTTTCAGCAAGCCATTGACAAAAATAACCCATACTCACCGTGTATAAACCTGAACAGCACGATAACTTCATCCATGAGACTTTCCATTTCCTCTTCTGAGACACTTCTGTTTCCGTTCCGTAGCTTGACGTCCATATATTTAGCTAAAAAGTTTACTTTTTAGCAAAAAATAAAATGAAAATAATTTCCCTAGCCAAAAAAAATTTATCAATTCACGTTTACTTGATTCTTTTAAACCTGACAATTAGAGAACGTGATTATTTAATTAAGTGATGTCATTTGAAAAAAAAATCCCCATCGATAGTGTTTTTAAAAGAGTGACGAAAAATTGTATAAAACTTGCACTATTCACTAAAATATGATTAATCACAATCCTTCATTAGAGAACTATATTTATTTCAGAGCATCCAATGAATTAAAAAGCAATTATCAATTGTTCTGACATTAATCTTTTCTATTGCAGTAGTTTTAAAGACTGTTAATTGTAATCAAGAGAAAAGCTGTAAAGTGCAACATAATGTGGAATATTAGCCGCATGAGAGTAAAACCGTAAATGGTAGACTAATAATAAAAATTATTATCTAGCCAACTTAATGCTTACCAACAAGCTCTGCTGGTTTATTTGGTCGAGTATTGATGAAGTAATCGAATGCATCTTTTTCTGCTTGGATAAATTTTTCGTTTTTTTGGAAACAACTGAAAAATTTTAGAGTATGCCAAAACACAAAATGTATGTTACAGATGTAAGATTGAGATGTATGAAAAATCAAGGTCACCATTAATTGATGATCAATTAATTTTAGGAACTCAGCGACAAAATCTTTCAGAAGTAAAGTAGACGAAGACCTGTGCAATTAAAGCTTAGAGACACAAACCCACAAGTCTTTAGTAAGTTGAATAGTTAAACAAGAATGATATCTATGCAATGAAAAGAAAATCCAGATACCTGTCTACAACATTATCCAGACGCCTTTTCATGTTCAGCAAATCAGATACTAGCGTTTTATCCCTGTCAAAATCCATAACTAAACTTCTACCTACTTTCTAAAATAAATATTATTCAACGAAATATATAAATGAATCTTTCCAATCCTTAATCTTTTTTTTTCTTCGAAAATATCATGTACAACTGCTTTAACAATTAGATTCTACTAAAAAAGCACAGCATACTTTCAGACGATCATTTTCGCAGCTTATATTTTTATAATATCCAGATATGTTATATTTACTTTAGAAAAGGTTTACTACCGAAAGATTTTTTGTTGCGCTCAAATACATTCATGTAATTGAAATCAGGATAATAAACTTAAACGTAATTTTTTCTATACTCTGGACCAATAGGAAAACACTAGTCAGAGACTATGAGACCTGAAAACAGCTTTTAAAAAAATGTTTACCTTTATATAAATAACAAATACATTTTTCAGAATATTAAGTCCATTTTTCGTTCTCAATACCAAGTCATACATTAAACTTAGGTCTTCAGGTTTGTTTTCGTGAAGCATCGCATCAAGACCTTAAGAAATATTATAACAAATGCTAGCATAATATCTTTTTTTCAAGTTTGTCAAGAGCTTTATTTTTAAAAGTCATAAGTCGATAATATATAGAAATATTCATGCGAAAATAAAGTCGAGATTTTCATGCCATTTAAATAAATCTGCATTATAAGACTTAAACACTATAGAAAATATATTTAATATTTTATAACAAATGAAAGTAAAATCACCTTTATTTATAAATGAGTCCATATGATCAGCAATCAAACATTTTTCGGTAATCATCATTAATGGCTTTCGTGTGACACTATCCAAATAATAATCGACACGTTCTGATTCTTCTTCGAGACGCTTTTTTACATGTTTCAAGTAGTCTGGGACCTTAATTGATAGCTATTACTTCTTCATGTTACCAGCATAATAATATCTCCACAGTTTCACTTCATAAAGAAAATACTTACATCTAATGTCTGTGAAAGGTGACGGCCTTCAGATTCATATAGCGTATTCGTTGCTTCAAGAAACTGCTTCTCAAAAACCTGAAGAACATTTTTGTAGGCAGAAAAATTCATAAACTGATCTGCCTCTTCTTGAAGAACATTTCCTCAAAATACTGCAATTAAATTTGGTTTTAATCTAAGATAAATATTTACTTACAGAAAAATCTAACAGTGCATGGTCTACCACACTACCAGACATCACTGTGAGCAATAAACATGAAAATAATAATGGACACATACTTTAAGTTTTTTAGAAGGATCCATAACAAAAATTAAACAAATAAGAGTTAATCATGAGTAACTTTTTCTCAAAAATCATTTATTTGAAAATATAAAAACTCCCGGAGTTACATCATTGTGAATAGCTAATTAATGAATGAAAATAATAAATAAAACCAAACCCATACATCTGTATAAACACGAAGACTTATCAGCATACGCACCAAAGACCTGATCAATAAACGATCAACCTATAATATCAACCTATTCATAATGCTGAATAATTATGGTGAAGTTTTTTTGATGGCAAATTAGAAAAAAAGCATTTTTTCAGTAAAATGTGAGCTTGTATTCCATTAATTTTTCTTTTTAATATAATAAGACTACACTGATATCATGATTTTTTGAATATGAAATAAAGCATGAAAAAGTGAAAGCACCAATTAAACAGCAAACAATAAATTGACCATGAATAAACGAAGCTCATATGCTTGCTGAAGAAACTGCAGTGGGATTCACTATATTTGTCTCGTCCAAGTTATGGCTCATTTCTCAAAGGATCAGAAAAAACATTTGATATTTACTGTACTGAAAGATGCAAACTCACATGTACACCTGCTCTTTCCTCTTCAATTATTTTTAAAAGTCCTTCGGTTGAACGTTTTCTTACATGTCCGCAGTGCATAACTTCATCGCGATAAATTTCTAAGCCCAAGTCCCTGAAAACTGAAAAATTCATATCCAGGATATCAAATATCTCAAATAATGAAGACTGACCAATCAATCGCATAGCTAAAGCACCATTTCAATGAAAGGGACATAGCTGAAGCTAATTAACAAAACTTTTTAGTCACTATCCAACATTTAATTAGAAAAATTATTACACTACCGTTTTTAAGCACTAGTAGCCATGTCATAACATTCACAGCAAAGAAAAGTGTAACATTTAAATCAAGTTTGCAACAGAAATCCACGGAAACTTACATAAATTAAATTAATCAAATACTCAATAAAAAATAACGCTAGGATAATGTTCTTAAGCAATATTCTAGTTCATAAATACAAGAATGGAACTCACCACAAAGACATAACACTTGCATTCTGCAAAATGAACGTCCGATCCAAATACAGAAATACACTACGGACATTGATCTGGAACCGAAAATGCTTACTAATTATTAAGTTTAGGAATGAAACAGAGGTTGTATCAGAACCCATAACGTTTTTCACAGAAACATAAAACTAATATAATCTAATATCTACTCAAAATATACATTTCTTGTAACGAAATCATCTGAATTAAGAGATAACGTCTGGAGACAAAGATAAAAAGAAACTACAAATAGAAACCAAGATTTGAATGCATAATTTCTGACTGACTGATATTTGAAATGAAGTTACCAGTTGTTCGCAAAATTCTAGCCAAAATGTATTGAGGCGTTGTAAGAAAAGTTGTGTAGATTCAAAAGAAGTCAACAAAGCTTGAAGTTCTTGGATGACATGCGACACCATGCATCCTTTTAACTTTTCATACATCCTCATTTCTGTACAAGTGGAACATAAATATTCAACAACCTAAAAAAAATGTACTTTACAACTAATTTCTCAAACTGCTTGTTTATTTATCAACAAGAGGTTTAAATTTTTAAACAACACTCAGTTTTTCAAACTTTCTTATCAGTTACAATGGTAAAAAACAATAAAGTTCCGCGACAATCCTTTAGGACTGTACAAGAAGTACGGTCTGGACGTATTTTCACGCATGCGAAGCAATTCTGTCTAGAAGGTCATCACAAACGAGAGCGCGGACATCAGAGTCGATGTGCGAGAAAGAACAGCTATAAAGGTAAGTGTGCGTCGACACGATATCGTGATCAAAATAAGAAACAACAAGAAGTAAGCTTAACAGAAGTTAGCATCACTTGTTAGGACAGGTTAATTGTAGTCGAAATGGAAAAAAGACGAAAGTATAATCTACACGGAACTTGGATCAGAGATGAAATGCAAGACGAAGATAATTTCGTTTGTGATGATTTAGAATGGGATAGTGACGAACTTTCATAAATGCTAACAAAGATCAGTATATATGATCAGGTTGAGGCAGATATCCAACTGATAGTGTTCAAGAAGACGCTCCAAATCATTTCATTTAATGACCGCTATGAATTTCACGAGCATGAAACAAGAGAGATCAGCACAACAGATCTGAACGTGGGACAAGTACAGCCAGAGTGCACTTCTCCCACGCGGAAAAGAAAGCTAACTTCCATATTTTTTTTCTTTATAAATAATAGCGATTAAATTTTTCAATTTCAAAAGCTTTTGGACAATGTAATTTAAAATGTAAACAGATTTTAAATCAAAAAATTTTTCTAGTAAAGTACTGAATTTAGCAGACTTTAGAGAAGTATGAAAGTTAAAATTGAAAAAGCGAAGGATTACTTCATAAAGCTGCTCTAAAGATATTTCTGCTTTCATCTTCTTTTGTATTGCCAAAACTGCGACTTCAAGCGGATGCCATTTAGTTTCAAAAGGATCACTTTCTTCAGCATTACCTGGCACATTTTCTAGAGAAAAAAAAAACCAAAATCAGATATTTCATTGAACGTTTTGGGTAACACAAAATAAGAACAAAAATTCATTCACATGTTTCGTTTCCTTGCACATGATAATAATTACAGCTAGCTTATACAAATAAAATACCCAAATAAAATACCAAAAAAGAAATTCCATATATGGCTTGAATACACTTAGATATGAAAAACGAACAATTCTAACAAGATCTTATAAATATTTAACGCTCATTAAAACTCAAATATAAAATGGACTGAGAGTAAGTGCTAAACATTATCTGATTTATGTTATAACTGTAATTACTTCCTTCATCGAGCAACCAAAAATCTTAGAAACAATACAAGTCAAAAATTTTCAATGATTACTATTTGGGATCATAACAATATATGAAAACTAACGTTTAAAACCATGAATAACCAATTTTTTAGTGTTGGTTTGAGCCACATTTCTTGTTAATATACTTGAACGCCTATAAATTCTAGCATCATGCACTGGTTCTTCCGATTCCATTAAAGTTCCAGAAAACTTTTTCGCTGAAATCCAAATTATTCCTTTTAAACTACTGAGTTAAGGCAACTGAATCCTAACAAGAAGCTCAAATTTAAAGAAGTATTACCATCACATTCATTAGCGGGTGCTTCATCCATGTTTGGTATTGATGCTCTCGTTGCAGCTTTTAAGATTCCAGCTTTCTGTGGTGATGAAAAGTTACTACGAAGACGTTTTGCTTCCGGTGGCTAAAATCAAACCAAAATTTAATTTCACATTCCATCTCGAAATTCGTCATCTTCCGTTCATGCTCCCACTTTTCCCTTCTATGTCAAAAAAAGGAACATATTTCATAGTAAAAATAACCTTGTATTCGTCCAGCTTTCTGGTTTCGTCCACTAGAGAAGAAGATATTCTGCGACTATCACTTCCTAAAGTGTTTTTCTTTTGTTACTGGTACGCAGTTTATTTTCCTTTGCACCACTAATTTAGATATTTTTTTTGATTGAAACTTAATCGATTAGAAATATTTATGACAAAATGATCAATTCTAAAAAATCATGCCATTACATTCATCTTACAGATAAATATTACAGAAAAATGTAATTTTTAAATGATCGGAAAAGAATTCTATCACACAACTCCTCGCAGGAGGTATGAAGTTTATAACTTACAGAAAATGTAACTTTAGAATGTAATAAATATCACTATTACATTCTAAAGGACACAGCATACTTTTTATCATTAATAATAGAAAACAGTCTTTTCAGCAATATACAATAGTATGTTGCAACGAAATCTAATAAATGATCTCAGACAAATTACAACATAACATGGCATCCTAAATTAATACCTGTGGATGATGATTGGATCTGAGTACCCAGAAAAAAAGGGTTATTCGGAACCGAAGACGATGACATATAAAATGAGCGCTTTCACTTAAGCGCAAGAAAATTCGGAAGTTTGGATATTTGTAGTAAATTCTGAAAAAGAGAAGCTGTGAATTAATAATTTAAATAACAACTCAGAAACCCACTAAATATGTTTGAAAGACCAACAAAAGTATATAGGAACATTAAATCATAAAAATAAACCAGAGTTACTAGAATTGCTGAAAAAGTATTATGTCGAAATTTTCTTTACAAAAGCACCCGTTGTAAAATTTGTGTCAAAATCACACAAATCAATCTTGCGAAGACAATAAAGAGTCGAGGAGTTTTTACGTTAGTCAGCTTAAAATTTAAACGCTTTGTTCACTTCCATTTCACTTCGTCAAAATATTCCGAATTCCGCAAAATAAAGGCAGTGTTCATAAAAGAATCACAAACAGAGTGAGTGTGCTTTGGATTGCAAATATACCACAAAATTTTACACTTTTGCATGCTTCCTTTCATCTATCAATACAATCTTTCCATACAGAAAAGTCTAGCTGCGTGAATGTCGTGTCAGTTACAGTTACACAAGTGAAAATGCTATTTCATCACTCTGGTCAATGAATAAACACTAAAACTAAAACTCCACAACTTGCAGGACGTGTCAGTCTTAACTTCTCGCTAATAGTCTCCAGAACATTTTAGATTATAAATCATACTTGATAGATGTTTTACAAGCTTAAAGAAATGGAACCATCTTAAAAACTATGAAGTACACCGAGCAAAGTACACGCAAACTCTTCTCTGACAATAATGAAAGTTTTGATTTAACTAACAGTCCTTTGACATATTTTGAAATAGCTTTGAAAGCTTCTAATAGTTAACTACCATACAGATAACGCATCTTCACGAACGCAAAAAACCACAACCATCTTCGCGACAACAAATTACCCCTCACCCACATAAACACCAACCACACACGGGACCAGAGTGCCATTTAATTTCTATCTCTTCATTTTCGCAATTAGTCAATTTGCACCAGGCCGCGGGCCGCAACTTATTTCTTTGTAAAGGAAAATTGTTCATTTTTGTGCTTTCTTTTCATCTTCGCTTTTTCTCTTTCCTTTTTTGTCTTTTCTTCTGTCTCTCTCAGGTGTATAGCTTTTAACTACACTTCCTCTTACTTGCCGTTACTCTTTTTTTGAACTTTATAGCTTGTTTATTCATTTTTATACTTCCTTGCATGTATAAAACTTTACTCAGTTATTTTTATATTTGTCTGAAATAGTTTCGTCGTGATTTCTTTGAAGTTTCATTCTTTTACTATTTTCGATGCTTATATAGTCTGAAATATTTTTACGTGGAATCTTATTGACGCAAATCATACGTCATGAGATGACTGTATTTTTAATGTTGATTGGAAATGGTTGAAAAATCTTTGTCATGCTGTTATTTTTTAACTCTTAGATCAATATTTTTGACCCTTTGATCTGTTTTTGGTAAAACATTTGATTTAGTCATATAATTTAATGAACTGACTAACCAAGAATAATTCTAAATCCAAGTTTTCATTCTGATTTTTTCCCTTTTTATCTAGTCATAATCTCTTTTATTGCAGTGACTTCACATAATTGCCTTTGTGCTTGCAGAATACATTTCTGCAAAAATAAACGAAAGCAAATGGCATCTTCACGAAATGAACAAATGTTTCTTTAATTACATGATGTTTTAACTTTCAGCACATATATTTTCCATCAGTTTAGTTTTTGCAGGCTACTTTATTACACGTTGATAATCTGATTGGTTTATTGCAGTCGTAAAGCAGATGGCAGCGATGGGATTGGAAGGTTAATTTTATGTCTTGATAATTTTAATTACATAATTTTAAAAAATTATACAAAATGCCAAGAAAATTCAAATTATATAAAGTTAATATACTGAATTCAAAATTCAAAAAATACAATCTTGGAACTTGTCTTAATCATCTAATCCTTGAAACTATGAAGATGACTAAAAGAACATTTTGTCGTGCCAGGCGTTAAAAATATGGACTTCTGATTTCAATAAAAACTGATTAGTGTTTTTTCGACAAATGATGTCGCCTATTGATAAAGAAAGACTTACTACTTTGAAGATTGCATTTTTTTAAATCATGTGCTTATTTAAAAAAATGTTATTTATCCTTTTTATTGTTGATGCAATTTCAATGTCTCAGTAGACGATGATGTTTGATTCAGTGTTTTTTGACGATGATGTTTCAAAATAAACTTAATTGCAGAATAAATATTAAGGCTGCAGTACCTAGCTTAAAACTATTACAAATCCATGTGGTTCTCAGAATTTCATTAGGTCTAAAAAAGAGGAGAAAAGTTCATTTGCATGTTGGTTTAGATTCAACAGGGTATTAGTTTCTATTTGACATTAGAAAATGGTGACTTTTTCGATGTGCAAAATGTTTTCGTTGTTTTCCAAACTTTATTTGCATTTAGTCAGCAACACTATTTGATAAATTGGTAACTTTTTAAAATTTAAAACCAAGGAAAACAATTTCTGTGAACTCTTTCAAAATCGTTTTTGTCTGTCTTGATGTCCAGATGTTTCAGTTCAAAAATTACTTACAAACTTTTTTGTGTGTAGTCAGCGTTTTTATTTCATCTATAGAAAAGTTTTCAGTTTTAAACTTAGTGGTATTTCTTTATGTATCAAGTAGCTTTAAATTAAAGTATTTGTGCAGTCATATTACCATAGTAATGTCTTTGATAATCAAGCATATATAAGTCTAGCATGTGTAAAGATTTCAGAAATTTTGTCATGCTGTGCTCTAAAACATCTATTGTACCAAAATTATTTGGTTATTTTCATTGAAAAAATATTTTCTCACGTTTTTGTAGTGCTGGCTGATCTTCATTTCAGCTGTTGATGGTCATTTTGTTAGTGATACTTTAAACGGACTCAGTGAAGCTGAGAAGGAGTTAATCAGAGAGGAACTGAAAAAAGTAAACTTTTTTTTGTTTTATTTGTTATAACAGAAGACGAAGTTTTTGATTGGTTGAAATAATATGAATTATGGTGCAATTTATAACATCTAATCTAGTTCAACAATTTCGGTTCTATAGTTTTTGTCTGTAAATATTTCAGATATTGAAAAAAAATAGGCGGCCTACTAAATATTTTGCTTTGCTTGCTGTTGCATGCACTGGCTAATAACTGTTTCAATGATATTCTACATGTTTATATTATTCTTGAAATTTTTTAGTATTCATAGTGTTTGTTTCTTCATTGTCTCGACTGGCAAGACTTTATTAATTATTGAGTGCTCTCATTGGGGTTTGCTATAAATATCAGGCCTGATACGATAAGAACTGTGCTTATTTCAAAGACTTTTAGATATAATAATTCCATAAATATTTAAAACAATTTTTGGCTGTAATATATATTTTTCTTAGGGTATATTACATAATTTTTATTTAGACAGACGAAGAGATCAATACTCTACGTCAAGTACTGGTTGCACGTCAGAAACATGCGGCTGATTTGAAACGAAAATTGGGTATTTCGCCATTAACAGAACTCACTGCTGACATCAATCAGTCACTGATGCATGTGAAGGAATCTCAAGCGTAAGCGTTTTTAAGCATGATTTTCTTTCTGTATAAAGAGAGACTATAAAACTCTTCATTTCATAACGAATTCTTAACATGGGAAATCTTATTTTGATTACTTATATTGCTCGAAAGTTAAGTTGTTTTTGGTAATTATAAAATGGCCATATAAAATGTAATAGTTGCGTTTTCAAACTCTGTAAGTTGTTGATATGTTTTTTTTAACTGAAAGTATAATAGGCTTTGTTTGGTTAGATTTCTGCTTCAAGAAACTTGACAAATGTTAGTAAAGATCATGAATGTTGAAAGTATTTTCATCGTCTCATTGTTCAGTCTATATTACTTATAAAGGTACCAGAAAACATCGGAAGTGGTAGCTGGTACTGCAGATACCGTCAAAAACAAATGGAATGATATGCGTAATTCATCGCTCTTCAAATCATTTGAATCTAAATTGGGAACGGCTTATACCAGCGTAAGAAATTTTTTAAATTGCAATATTCTCTTCTGTAATAGTCATATTGATTAAGGATGTAACTTAAGGCAGATCTGTATATGCTAATAATACAGATCTGCCTCAATATTTATGAAGTAATTTATGATTCCTTTTGCTGATAATTTGTAAGTTTGCTTTTATGGTTTGAAATCGCTTTCATGATAAAAGTTTCGATTGGTTAATTAATTGTATCCAAAGCGATTTGAAATGATTTATTTCTTGAATGATAACTCTACAAGTTATCAAAAGCTCGTGTTTCATATGTTAGTGACATTAAAAATCTCAAGTGATTCTTAAGAAACTTTGAAAAAAAATGTATTAAGAAAATATCAGGGACCTTTCTTTTATATTTTTGGCTATCAGCATCATTCCGCCTGTTATTTCATGGTAAAAAGTAGTCGGGTTTTTTTCACGAGTAGATGTCATTTGCGCTCTTAAGAAATCCAAAGGTATTAGTCATATATTGCAGGCTAAAATTGCGGCGTCTACTAGTATTGATCAGATATCTGGAATCGCTAAATCGTCATCAGGCACATCTAGCCATAATGATCCTACTTCGCCCTTTAAATAAAAAAAGTTTGTGATTTGCAGATTTGAATTTTGCTTGATGATCACAGTATATCAGTTTAATTGAAAAATTCTAAAGCTTCAAGAGCAGAAGTTTAGTTTTCTTGAGTAAATAATGTATTATTTGATTGATTAAAAATTTACAAATATAACTGCAGAAGGTTATGTTATCGAGAGCCAAAAAACTTCAGAAAATTTCTTGTATTATTCATGCTGAATAAAATGATTAACTTTATATAGTAGAAATGTTCAACTGGAATTTAACAATTGAAATAATCGGTAATTCTTGCATCTTTTCTATTTTTCTGCTTCAGACTGATAGGTTTGTTTCGGTTGCGATGCAAGTTTTTTAAAAAGCTATTTGCAGTGGAAAAAAAAGTACAACGAGCAAATTGTTCTCTCAACCATTACTTTATCATATGTGCCACTTCTATGGAACTTTTTATCCACTTTTGAACTCCCTTATCTCAGTGTTGTTCTAAATGAAGCACTTTCAGATTATTTCAGCTCTAATTTAAGAAACATTTTCTTGTTTTTCCCTCTTATTATCTCAATTTAAATGTGTATGAAAAGCAAAATTTCCCGCCATTTAATGTTTATGTTTTACTCGCTGCTTTTGATTGTTTTGTAAGGTTGCTTTCATGGTATTAAGATGTATCCAAGTTTTGCTGGTTTTAGATTGTACTTATCAAGAGGTATAAAATTTTCGAGAAAAATTATTTTAGTGTTGTTTACATGTGATGAAAATATGCTTTGTTAATATGGTGAGCATTCTATCATGGCTGGAAAAACATAATGATAGAAGTTGCTTAAGTTTAGCTGAAAAGATGTAACATTATTATATACCATATCTTTCTATTTATGCCCCACATTTTTTAGTCTACTGTCATCAGAACTATTTTCGAAATCCCAGAAATGGTGCCTTAACCTTGAGAGCTAGAGGATAAGTAATTTTCTCATTAAAACAGATTCATATCATTTGTCTGGGTTACTTTTCATTATCATCCAAGAAGTTTCAACTACGTTACATGGTTCTCGTTTGTGGGTGATATATATTAATTACTCTGGAAATTTATTTATCATTCAGTAATCTGAATAGTACTTTAATTTTTCTCAGAACAGTGAAATTTGTGCAAATTATGCTTTCCCTGTAGTTAAAAGTATTGACAGCTAGATTTCTTTATAGTTCATGGAATACTGCTGAGTGGCTGACAGTCTTGCAAGTTGGAATGAGAAAGACAAAAGTTTCATCTTGTTTAACTCCACTGATGATGCGTTTGGCACAACGTGAATGAAATTGAAAGTAACTTGAGACTAAATTATTTTGGATTCTTATTTGAATGGCGCAAGTACACTGCTGGTTTTCTTGTACATAAGCAGAAATGTGGAAATCAAAATCGAACTGTCATTAGTTTTATAGATTCCAAAATGGAGTGCTTTTTGTCAGTTTATAATGGAAATCAGCAATCTTCTGGATGCTTAATGCAGACAGTGAAGTAATTAATTGAAGCATAAGTTTATTATCATTTGCAATTAGCCAAAGTACAGTCTATTATCATATAATCCTAGTTTCTGTCGAGCATCTGGTGTCAAGGGTTACTTCTACCTGAGTGTAGCATGCAGTGATCCGATAATTTATGTCGACTTTAGTGTTTTTGAAATCATCCTGTAATCACTCCTTATCTTTGAATCGAAAAAGGAACGTCCAAAATATTTGGTGTTCTTTTTCAAGATATGAGAGAATTTGTTGCTCATAACTTTGTGTTCAGTCATCTTTATTTTTGAAAAAGTTAATTTCTTCTCAGATCTTGGATTTCTCAGAAATTACTCGTTTACGATGAATCAAATCAGCACCTGACAAATTGATAAATGAAAGTATGCAATCTTGTGATAACATTGTTCAGTGTTTCGCTGGTGTTGGTGTAATGGTGTCGGCTGATTTTCCAACTCGTCTAATCTTTTTCGTGTGGTAATCAAACCCTGGTTCAGGTTTGAAATTACAGGTAATTATCGAAGCAGTCTGAAATTCGGAGAAAAATTTGAGATCTGTTTAATATTTGAGGCTCAAAATTAGCCTTCCGTTAACATTGGAGTCTTTTCTTAAGCATATTTGGGAAACGAAATGGATGTATTTTAGGAATTATCGATCATTTTCAATCGAGAATAAGATTACTAGTGATAGAAAGTATAAAAGATTAGCTAACGTTAATGGTGATAAGAAGTGCAATGGCACATAATGAAAGCTGTAACCAGCAGCAGTAAGTTGCGAAGACTTCAAACATAAACAACGTTGGTTGATGGAGATTTGAGAATAGATTTGTTGCTTCAAAAATTTGAATAACATATTTGTGGTGAGCAAACTTCACTTAAAAATGTGGTGTCCAGTTTTTGTCAGTCTTTTAGTAATAAGCAGGATGGAATTGAAATGCTTGAGAACTTTTGTATTATACAGTTCAGCGTTATAAATTATGCAATTTTTTGTAGCATTGTTGAAGTATAATTTACAAAATAGACTTACTATATTTCCACACTTTTCTTAAACTATCTGTATTACCCAATAAATCAGTCATGTGAAATGATGTGAATTTATAATTCCGCATTAATTAATTGCTTTTGCAACTTTGTGGATGAATTTATTGCTTGTTTTTGTACCCTATGGACAGAAAGTTTGTTATTAAATTTATCGCAAGCAACTAACTTCTGATAAAACTTATCTGAAGTTTTCCTCGCTTAATCTGTTTTGAATAAGATCTTCTGACAACCTGCTTCTAGGTTGGTCGCCGAGAAAAGAACGACCAGGCTGACCGACCGAAAAACATAAAAAATAACAGCGGTGTGAACAGTAGAACTTAAGTTATTATAATTCAGTCATATCGTTTTCTCGATATTTGCATAGGAAAAATAAGAAAGGCTTACTAGTAAATTTGTATCGCTATGTTATGCGTAGTAATAAAAGTTTGCTTTTTCTCTCGAAGAACATATTTTCAATTATGTTATTTACAATTTAACTTGAATTAATACATGAAACTGAAGTAGAGAGTTGAAAAATAAAAATAAACTGACAGTTTTGCCGTTATTTGTAAGTTTCACTTTTTTCAAGTTCAAATTACATGACTGATGATGTCTTGAAGAAATGGTATTTTTAAACTGAAGTTGGAAATGGATTAGAATGGTTATACGAATATTTCCTACCTATTTTCTCGTAAGGTTGTAGTTGGTTATTTTTGTGTCTTACTTTGACTAAATTGTAGTATTAGAATCAGACGATGAGAAACAGAACCGGAATTTATTTTATAAGTTGCACCATTAATTTTGTGATGAGAATCGCTTTCTTTTATTTTTTGACAAAATGTCAAATATTGTGTTTCTTTTAACATAAAAACAAGTTATTAATTTTCCAAAAATTCTAATAAAATACATCTCAAAATAATCATTGAATAATTCTGGTATTGAAGTAAACAGTGACTGATTAGTATGAAGGTTGTTGGAGAATAAAATTCAACCAGACTTTTCCTCCTTGAAGATCGTTATAATAGCAATTGAATATCACTTGAAATTTTTATTAAAAATACACAATGATCACTTTTCAAGCCATTCAATGTGGTTATTATCATATTTTGAATTGATAAAAAGTAGCACGAAAACACAAATTAATGTACAGTTGAATGAGATATGAGAATTTCCCGTATATTCGAGTTTAGAATTTGACTATTAAAATTGCAGTTTTGGTGTACTCGTAGTAGGTGTAAATATCTGATGTCGAATTTGACTATTTGTTATTTTTACAGATCCACAATTTTGAAAATATGCTTAAAAGGATTTAGCATTTGAGAAATATGTTTAAGTTTATTTTATTATGAAGTCTCAAGAAATCTACTCAAATCAGTCATCAGCGTGTACAGTAATGATCTTGTCATCACTGCCAAGAATGACATTACAATAGTAAATTGATGGTAATTATTTGGTATATATTTTGATTTCAAACTTTCCAAAGTTCAACATTGGGAATTATTATGCATAAATGGATCGCGTATCAAATCAATAAAGTTTCGGAATTTGCATTGGAACCCGTGGTTGCAACAATAAAGAATTAAGAATGAACAACTGTTTGGTAATTTGATGAAAGTTATGAAGGCAACAATTATAATGATACTTCAGAAATGAGATGGAAATATGAAATAATATATACAATCTACACGCAAGCTGTCGTGATGTAAGTTTGAAATATTAAGCTAAACCCGGCAGTAGTGAATACATACTTCTTACTACATGTGAAGTTATCGCTTTAAATATTTTTCGAAGTCGTAAAAATTATTTCCGATACGATATTCTTAATATCTTCCTGTAATGAATATATAATTCTACTTCATATTTGCTCGGAACCAAATTCATTTTCAATTCAGTTGCCATCGACATGAAGGTCGAAGGTCAACGCAATATTTGTGGTTTCTTCTCTTATTTTACAACAGTGCTGATCGATTTGAGATGATACGAAAGTTTTTAGGGTGTATAATGATTTCGCTTGCAAAACTATCAGTATTCCTCCATATATTACACTAATAATGCCTAAAACTTCTTTGTAATTAGTAAACAACACTATTTTTTCCATTTCCCATACTTGAAGAAAATCGTGATGATTTTGAAATTGCAAGTAAAGTAATATTAATCAAAAGAGAGTTGAAGTAATCATTTATATATAAGTAAGTTAAAATCTTTCGTCAAAAATGGTTGGCTTACAAAGAATGAACCGAAGCATCCGAACTTTAATGAGCAAACCGCTTGAAATTATCCTCTCTTGTTATCTCATATAGATTCGCAAAGGTAAGCTACTTAAATCAGTCATTCAAAGGGGATTTAGATTCAGAGAGAGTAAAACTACTCATATTCAGAAGAAAAAACTCATTTGCTCAAAGTTAATCATGTCATTACCACAATTATAAGACACTGAAGCAAGTAAAGTAATGCTTTGAATAGGATGTTGATAAGATAAAAATTAAAGTGAAGATTCAAAACACCAACCAGCAACAAGTGTCATATAGAAGCACGTTGAGAGGTGGAATTCAAGCGTAGCGATTGAGCCATCGAAGGATGGGAACCGGATTTGGAAGTTTTTAGGCACAAATGTGAAGTATATGAAATCCGCGCACAGTATCAGAAATCCAACTATGGTAACCATTTTGGCAAAGTAATGTGGCACCAAACACAGCATCAACACCTGAACTATCCATACTGCGAATGCTGTCCTGAATGAGGCTATGATAAGAGAAGTGAAAAGTTTTTTCCTCACATGATCATCTTTTTATGGGTCAAAGTTAATTTTTGTTTTATTTTTTTGATAGTCAGAGTTGCAGAAATGCAACGAACATTTTTTAATCTTAAAAGGGAACTAATTTTTTGAAAATTTTCACATTTTAAACAATACTAAATTTGCGCTCATAAGGAAACATAAAACTAAAATGTTTACTCTAAGTACCAGTCGTAGAGATGTAAAAATTTTACACTCACTTCAGTTCACTAACAACCATCTCTACTAATTCTTACTTTTTCCATAAATTCTGAATTTCAAAGAAGGAAAATTAATTTGCATTATTCTTCAAGTCAATTTTATATTCTCAAATTATAAACACTTTCGCTAAAAATTCCATAAAAACATTTTTCGGATTAACTTTTCACCACATCTTAACCACAGAAATGTGAAATGTGGGCAAAATTTATTTTTTTAAAAGCTTCGTTCAAACTATATCACTTGTTCTGAAGTCATAATTATTGCTGGGCATCAGTCTTGATGAAAAGTAGCTTAAATTTAAGCGAAATTTATTTTAGCATTTTGTAAGTAATAGATTTAATTTTACAATTCTTTGAAAGCTCTTATGAGCTAATTATGAGTATAATAACTTACCAAAGCAAATAAATAGTATAATGTCCAGCAAGACGATATTGCCTTCCCCAAACAAATCCAGCTCGATCCACACTTAGATACTCAATTACTTTTAGAATTGGATAAGGCAAACCTTTTTTTAGACTTTTCTCCAATTCCATTTCCATTGAAAATACTATAATATTATGCAAATTATATGAAATATATGAACATTGGATCGTCTACTTGCTTTTATTCACATAAAAATAAGAAAAAGATACCTAGTAATAAACTAATTGTTACCTATAACTTTGTGCTAGTTGTACAAATCAAGCATAAATAAGCTATAATCAAATAAGTCAAGAATTTTATGGTTTGGAATAAAACAAAATTTTAGAATAAACGTTTAGCTGAAGTTTATAATGTCCCATTTTTTCTCAATTCAATCTAACTTTTTAAGCGGTAAATCTATAAATAATCTTGAATCTTGAATGTCTAATATATATAACATTCAAATTTGAATAATATATCATCTGCCTCACTTGCTTTATTGCATTTTTTCTGATGAATATTGCCAAATATATATTAATCTATTTTAAAATAATAAAAAATAATTTTTCCATAAATTTTAATGAAAAAAAAGAAAAGAAATAATGGAATTTAATCTAAAAATTTTTTTAGCTGACAAATTTAAAGGAGGAACAAAGTGGCGCGCGGTCGTTTATCATTTAGACGTGTTCTTCACAAAAAGTTAATTATGCAGATGTAATTCCTTCAAGTAAATTTCAACCAAAATATTCGGTTGGAAAATGAAGGTAGACTTTCTTTTATAACAGTTTTGTAGCGATAAGTAAGTTTATTCAAATTTTACTAGAGATTTTAATAGCAGCAAACCATTAAGAAATTCAAATCGTTCGTTGTATTCTAAACCGTTCAATGATTTTTGAGAATCAACATTGGATGACGGCACACCTAAAGCAAAACATTTGAATTAGAATAAAGCGATGCTCACAAAAATCCCACTTTCAAAGAGTTTTGAAAAAATAAGCGATTGAATTTGCACAAAGTCAAAACTAATAAAACTTGACATTAAACAAAATTTCGCGATTAAAAAATCCAAAAACCTTCAATCACCAATTTAAAAAACTTGATGAATTTTAAACCTGATCAATCAATTAAACATGATAACAGTAAAAAGCAAGTAAATTCCATAAATGGTCAACAATTAGTTGGTTACATGTGATGACAAAAAAGCAAATCTGAATTCTAATGTGAGAAATTATTTTTTTGCAAATTTTTCTAATAAATTAATAAACAAGAAAAAATTCAATACATATCACTCTATATAAAATAACTATAAAACAAATTTGTTAGTGGGAGGATAAAACTGAGATAATTTATGCAATAAAAATAAAATTTCTCGCGGTTTCGCTAAGACTAAAATATTAGCAAACATAAATTTTTAAACATTTTTTAATCCAAACTTCACTTGTAAGTGTAATGTTAACATGTTTGAGACCCATTCGAACACCCAAAAACGCGTCCAATTTATCAGTAGTAAATGCTTTGTAAGCTGAAAAAATTCGAACGCTTCCTTGATGCCAAGTCGGGTGATGAATACTTACTGCAAAATCCATTAATATGTTAGTCGTTTTTTGTGCCTATTGCAGAAGCATTAGCTTCAGATCTTTAAGGTTGAGGTCAAGATTTTTGGTAAATTAATCATAACATATCAGAATGTCGTGAAATTAAGATTTCTAGTGCAATTTAAGAATGCAAATGCGAAATTAAATTATATTACAAAAATTTTTTATCAGCAATTACGACTGAATAATAGCTTTATCACATTTGTTGTCTTGAGACTTTTTAGATATCTTTTATTCGTATCTTTTATTTTAGTTTATACTGTTTTTAATTTTTGTTTCTCTGTGAAACTTTGATAATATAATTTTATAAAATAACAGATATGAAAGAAAACTTTGGCAAAAACAAGTTTTTAGTACTCTTTAAATGCAATTATTTGACTGTTTGTCTTAAGAAAATTCATAGCTGTAACAAAGAAATTACGGGAAGTGCTTTTTTAGAATTAACAAATAAACTTTCAGATTTACAAGAAATTACAATATTTTTTACGTGTAAAGGTTGATAACAATAGTCATCCGCTGATAACCATTTTTTTTTCATAATAACAAGTATTTACTTTAAATTATTTTCACTTACTGGTAATTTGTTGTTATTTTTTAGTTTCAAATTAATTTTTATGCATTGCAATCCATTTCAATCATCTTCTGACAATTAATAAATGGATCAATTTTTTTATCTTGCTTAAATTTAATTTGAACGAAAATTCAAAAAAAAAAAACTTTAGTGATTCGATGTGAATAAATAATCGCAATACTTATTTTTAATATTTGAATTTATGAGTTGATTTAGTTGATTAAAAAGTGAATTGCAAATGTTATTTGTTTTCAGGAAGTACAGAAAATAAATAAATTATTTCTTGTAGAAAATTTGAAGTGTATGAAATGATCTGAGATTTTAATATAAAGTGAAAATGGCAAATAAGTAAATCTAATCAGGTCACACAGTTCAGCACCAATATGATGATTAATTCATGTATACATATAAGTTTCTAAAGAATGTAAAAATGTTGTTGGTTTAATTACACTAAACAATGTTTGATAACTGATAACATTGCATATCAGTGACGTTTTCCATACAGCCAATTAATCTCTCATAATAGTATAAATATATAGTATGATGGGACTGCATTGAATATCAGAAAATTGCTATGGAATATGACTTGCTAATCGTTTACAAAAAGCTTACAATTTTTAGTATTTTCGTATTTCGTATATTATTTTAGAATATTCTCTTCCATTACGTGATAAAGCACGCATGTGATACGGAAACTTTAACATAAACATTCGTTATTACTGTTTTTTGTTTTGCATTTTTTTTTTGATTTGAGCGAAGAACTGAATTTTTGCAATGAAAAGTTTAAATCTTTTTAAATTTTCACAGATTTTACTACAAAAAATTGATTAGTCGTAAAAATGAAATAAGTGCTATAACTTGATTTTCAGAGTTTATGAGTTATTCATTATTAATCATTGAATCACTTCCTTTATTTCCAGGAAGTATTGAAAATAAATAAATATATTATTTCTTGTAGAAAATTTGAAGTGCATGAAATGATTTGAATTTTAATACAAAGTGAAAATGGCAAATAAGTAGGTCAAAGTATAATCTAATCGGGTCACATAGTTCAGCACCTATATGATTACTAACTCTCACCTTTTTACAGTGTAATCGTTGAACTTAAAATTTAGAAAAATCATTTTGATGTGCATATGAACACAATGATAGATAAAAGTGAATTTTAAAGATTTTATACAAGCACATATTTTAAATTGCCAATAAGATCTACTTCCTTAAATTTTTGTATCTATTTACTGAAATCCAGGATATAGGAATGAAATTAAATCACTTCTGTATTTTCTTTTAGGAGTAAATAATTTAATTTGTTTTTTCAAGTAAAATTATCTAACGTGCATTTTGTATTTATTCTAATTTAATTATTCGCAGCAAACTTTTGCACATGGATCTTTTCAACAATCAATTAATTACTTGAAATGACAGAGTTGGATTTATTTTTGTGAGGTATGAGATATCAAATTTTCATGTGTTTTAAAACAAAATTTTATCACATATGATCTGCTTATCTGAAATGGAAGATACTTGATTCTTTAACAACAATCATTTTACCTTATCAATAATTTGCTGAGATTTTATGTTAACAAAAAAAGGGAAAGGTAGCAAAAAGTGAATGAATCTTTTCAGCACGCCATATTATCATAATAAATTTGATCTGTGAATTTTTCAAATTCAATAAAGACTTTAACTTGCCAAGTTTCAAAAGTAATCTGATTTTAAGAGCTTAACAATGAAGTAATCAGTATTCTATAACTAAACAGTCGGTTTAATAATCTTTTTCATTACAGTTTTGAATAGAGTAGAAATTATAAAAAATTACGCATATTAAAGAGAATAATTTTTAATTTTATTTTCATTTTCTAAAAACAAATATTTGCCTATAAGTTACAAAAGTGATAATTATTAGAAAAGATTTTTCATTTCAGAATCACAGTAATAAATAAGGCATTCTTTTCTGTCATCATTGCAGTGAGAGCATAGTTAGTAATAGAAACTTACTTTACTGCTAAGAAATTTAAAAATTATTAAAATATAAATTGAAAATACAAAGTAAAAAAGCTTACTTAAAATAATGGCTCCAACAGTAATAGTTAATACAATAGTAATTGTGGAAGCGATTCGGTAATGCCTTACGCCGGGCAAAATAATAAAAAATGCTAGCAAAGGTGTAACGAAGACTGACAGTAATGCAAATATTTGCAAGTCAAATACCACAGGTGTTCGATTCTCGCCAAACCACGTTGGATCACCGTTTTCACGAAAGGCATCGAACCATCCGATTCGTACCATTCTTAATCGTTAATTAATTAATCAATTAATTATAAATCAATAGGCAGAAAAAAACAGTTGTTAAACACGTAATTACGATATTATTGTAGAAAGTAACGTGAAGAACAAAAACAAAATTAACTACAATTGTTGAGATGTACGGCAGTAAAAAGTGATCATTTGACAATAAAATTGAGAACTTATTAAATTATAGATGAAAATATATTGAATATCAAATTTTTATTTTCCCAGAAGAACACAAAAAAATGATAATAATTACAGTAAAAATGATAATAAATTAAAAACTTAATTAGCAATCAAAAAATCAATTAATATATTTAAAAAATGACTTAAAAACAATAATTATGAAAGTAGTTACAACCAATAATAATAATAATAATAGCTGTGCTGCAGTGATAGTGGTAATAGTTTTAATAATTAATTTTTGACGACGTTTTCGCAAATCAATTTTTATTAAAATTATTTGTCTATTATTTCAGAGGTTGAGCTAATGCGATAATTTGGCCATAATAGTAAGAGTACAACCAGAATAACGATGAAAACAATGTTAATGTTGAATACAAAAATTATGATAGCGAATTATTACTAAAAGCAATAAAGGTAAAACTTAAAAATTTTTATGAGTAATAAAGTTAATTATAATTTTTAATGAAAACAGCAAAGATAATGCTAGTAGTAGCAGTAAAAGCAATATCATCAGTGATAATAATGTCATAAATAAAAAGAAGGAAATGACACAAAGTGAAAATGAAATTAAGAACAACTGCGCAAAAAATGACGCAAAATCAGGTAAGAGAAATTAATAAAATTGTTCGTTCCTTCATTAATTACTGATGAACTAGTTAGTTCGTTACTTAGTTAGTAAGCTAGTTAATTAGTCAGTTAATTAATTAATCAGTGAGTCTGTGAGTTAGTCAATCAGTCAGTCAGTAGCTGAATGAGTGCTAGACTTAACAAACTGGCCTAAAAACCGGTTAACTATATTTGTGTTATTTTCATTTGTTTCCCCTTAAAGAATACGTAATTAAGAAGTGAGAACTACGTACTACGCTCAAGCTGTCTATTTACTCTCAATTTCAATGATTGTAGCGTAAGAAATTTGTGCACTTTTCATTGTTATTTTGATGAAAAGTAAAAAAGGATTAATAAATAAGCCAAACCAATGTTTTTTCAAATTACTAATCTTAGTATTAGCATGATCTAAATTTTGTCTCAAATTATCAGTTTAATTTTTACTAACTTTTTATTTCGTTCTTTTTTTGTTTGTAAAAAAAACTTTTCGCTCGCTTTTTTTTTGAAAAAAATTTTTATAATTTAGCAAAATAGCAACAAAACGTATTTAAAAAAGTTAACTTTTATTTGTCAAGACAATAAAACATTACGAAAAGTATTTATCTACTCTTTTGCTTGAGTAGTTGTAAAATTTTTAACGTTTTTTGCTTTGTTTTTACTTGCAGAAACTACAAGTATTTTACACAACAATAAATTTTTTGTTGTTTTATTTTCAGTTATTTTCATTCTTAAAATTTTTGAAAGTGTTTTATTTGC